GAGGAGGGGTAAGAAGGGAGGGAGAGGGGTAAGAAGGAAGAAAGAGGGGTAAAAGAAGGAAGGAAGAGGAGGGGTAAGAAGGGAGGAAGAGGGGTAAGAAGGGAGGAAGAGGGGTAAGAAGGGAGGAAGAGGGGTAAGAAGGGAGGAAGAGGGGTAAGAAGGGGCTTCCCCATCAGTGACCAAGAGCACCACCCCGTCACCCTTTGCAGAGGAGAAAATGAGTCTGAAGGGGTTGGGAGCATTCCTGGGCCATGCAGCAAATTGAGGGGAGTCAGCATTTGAACCCAGGTGTCCTGCATTCTGAGGATGTTGTGGTTCTAAACTGCCTGGGATGTCAACAATCGGGGGCCTTGTGTCATCCCTACAGCTGGTTTTGGAGTTGCAGACAGGAAGCTGGGGAGGAGCCCTCAGCCCTGCCCACGTTCCCTTTGCAGCCTGGTCGAGTGCGTTAACAAATGCTACTAATGGATGGTGGCCTGGACTCCTGGCCACCAGAAGCTAGCCTGGGACTGGAAGCCTCTCTGGAAGAGGCTGCAGAAGGGACGGCAGAGGTGGTAGGATCCACCTAGGGTTCTGGGGCAGGCTGCCAATCCAGGAATCCTGTTTAGGCTCGGGACTAGCTCTGATTCCAGAATTAACTTGCAAAGTGACCTTAGCCAGTCCCTGTCCTTCCATGTTCATTTCCTCATCTCCATGTGCGGTGGGTTTGTCGGTTTTGTGATCTCTCAGTGTCTGTACATCATTACATGCAGGGCAACAGAGTGAGGCCCTGCCCAGGCGGTGGGCCAGGCCTGGTGGTGGGAGGTAGTGCAGCTCAGCATCCAGCTCACCCCCAGTCTCGTGAGTCTGTGGCTTCAGATGAGTCCCTGCAGGGGCTAAGGAGATGCCCAGGTCCAGTGTTGACATTCCACTGTGCCTCACCTCCCTCCTGCAGCCCTGCACCCAGCCGTCCTCAGAAGAGATTCCAATAAAGCTCATTTTCTGCCACCAAGTTTATAACACATCCCCACCTACTGGTCTTAAACATTAACAAAGCTGTGTGGTGGCACACGGTTCCGTGGCCAGAAGGAAGATGGGCCTGGGCGAGGAGAGGCCAGGCCAACGCATTCCTCCCTCCCAGAGGTGGAGCTTCCTAGGACCTGCTGCTTGGCTCTGTCTCCCAAGGACTCCAGCTTGGGTCAGTGGGGGATGGAGGGGTGTGGACACAACCTGTAGGAAAACTCCGGATTGCCAGGCTGGGTACCACACGCCTCTGAGATCACACACCCAGGGCGATGAGGGACACTCCATTCAGAACCTAGACTGTGTCACAACATGTCACCTGGGACCCTTGAATCCTGTGTGTGTCACTCAAGGGGCACAGTGCAGGCCTGCTCCTTCCTCCCGTCTCCAGCCGCTGTCTGCATGTCTCCTCCCCTCCCCTCTTCTGCCTCCTACTACAAAGCTCCTGCCTTGCTCAGTCCATTTCTTCTGAGCACGTACTGTGTTTGGAGCACTGGGGAGTGAGGCAGACATGGGCAAGACATGTCTTCTGTCCTAAAGCGACACTGTAGGCATCAGGGCGACCCAGGTAAACACGCTTTGCTGCACCTCCTTCACATGCATACACTCCAGCCCATGACCAGTGCAGAAAGGCAGCAGGAGTACCCCAGGAGCACAAGACAGTTAAAGTACTTCTGCTGGGGTGGCTGGGAAGAAGCCAAGGAACCTAGGGAGACTCCCTGGAGAAGGTGCTTTTAGAGCTGGACTTGGAAGGCTAGGTAAGGATTTCTGGAGGCAGGGTGTTGCTGATGGAAAGGCCGGCAGGTGCAAAAGCCATAGGCAGGAAAGTGAGAAGGGGGCACCTCATAAAACAGGTGGAGTATGGAGAGAAAGCAAGACCATGGATGGGAAGATACAGATTGGGACAAGACCATAAAGGGTCTTGGGTAACAGGGCAAAGAATGTATCCTCATCCTTCAGGCAGTGGGGAGCCAATGAAGGTTACTAAGGGAGCTGATGACAGACTTCACCGCCACTGTGCACCCTACAAACTCGTATTTACACTAAACAATGGTGGGGTCTTTCCAAAGACATACAAGAAAATGGCCTTCACAGATGTTCTCTGGAAACTTCAAACAGTGCAGGGGGCACCCAGACATACCACTTTGTCCACCCCATGGGATGAGCTGGGCCCTCAAAAGGGCTTGGGGCTCTGTTTACACATAGCCTCTGTCCAGCAGTCCTGGTAGAAAGTGAGGAAGGTTGTGGGCCAGAGACCACATTGCTGTAGAGATGGGGAACACAGGCAGGCAGGCCAAGGTCACCCTACCCGATGGTGCTAGAGGCACAAAAACCAAGGCTGCTTTGGCCTCTAGTCTAGCTGTGTGGTCAGAACCTTGCAGCCTCAGTACCCTGCCAGGCATCAAATACACAATGGCCCCTCTAACTGCCCCTCCCTCCACCCCCAGTATCTTTGAACAACCCCAAACCACCCAACCAAGAGTTAGCCTGGAGTGAGGTTAAGTCCTAATACATTTTCCTAACCAAGGGAAGTCTTGGTAGGATGGGTGTCAGGAAGCCCTGGAATAGGAAGGGCCAGGGAACATGTTTATTTTTTATTCATTTATGTTTTTTGAGGAGGGTGGATCTCTGTTTTTATAGCTGTATCCATCTTGGGGATGTCCAGACTTTAAGTGTATGCAGGCACCTGGGGAGACTGAGGATGGAATGGGAAGAGACTTCAGGACTCAGGGAAGAAGCTTGAAAAGACAGCCAGATAGGGGAAATGGTTCTCAGTGGGTCCCCTGAAGCACCTTCTTCCTGTAGCCAGGCCCTGAGTCCTGTGTCTGCGGGCATTGTGCTAGCATGTGTCTGTGTGGACAGACAGAAGTCTAAGCTCATGGCTCTGCCCCAATGCACCAGGGCTTCTTGGGCACACAGAAGGCTCCAGAGCCTAGGGAAAATAAGACAGAGTGGACACTACTAGGGACAACTTGCAGGCAGGATGCAGAGGAAGGTCCTCCTGTACTTGGAACGGACAGGTGAGGAAGGTAAAAGCATCTTTAATGCCAGACTGGGGGATCAGGAAGCGGCCAGTGGGGACCTAGTGACAGCTGTCCAAAGGCCATGACTGGGTTTGGGGAAGGAACTCTGACAGCAAAATGTAAGAATCATGCCTAGACCCAGGTTTGAGCTTGCAGGTCTCCTCCTGCTTGCCATTCAAACTCCCTGACCATGAGGACTAGGTCACAAAGTCAGCACATGCAGCTACAGTGCAATCCAGGCAATCCAACTCCTCATGGATCCTCATTCTCTTGCATACAGGTGGTGATTTCTGGTTCCTGCTGTACCCCCAGGACAGTGCTCTGTCCTGTCCATTGCTCCCATAAAGAGCTGAGGCTAGCTGTGTGGATGAATTAAAGGGAAAACAGTCACCCTTGGAGTCACCCCAGGGGAAGATGCAATCCACCCACAGAGGGAGGTCAGCCTAATCCCCTCCCCCTCCTAGCCTCTGGATTCTGAGAGCCATTCTTTTTCTTCTTCTTTCAACCTTGAGAATGCACCCTGGTCAGGGTGAGTCCATCTGGGTGATGGAGGCTGCTAATGAGAGAGGGCTTGGGCAGGTTCCTAGGGACTGGACAAAACAACGGCCACACATAGAGGGGCCTCCATCAACGCAGAGAGCCCACTGCCCTCTCTAGGAGGTCCTTCTCCATCCAGTCCCAGGCCAGCCCCTCAGCGTGGGGAACTGAAGCTTCCCAACCGCCCTTGATGATTGGGGAAATGTGTCCCAGGTCTGCCGGTTACTTGTTAACAAGGGGCAGAGGACTGCTCTTTTCCATTCTCCTCTCCCAGATGCCCCCCTCCCAATTCTTTCATCGCCCCTCGTCTCCTGGAGAGTCTCCAGCTTGCGGAAGGCCGGCTGCAGCCTCCTCCCTTCTGATCTGAGTTCCCACTGGGGAGGGGAGGTAGCGGGGGGGGGGCTTTCAGATACCCTCTATCCCCCACCCGCATCCTCGCCGTCCCACTGCCAAAGCGCGCCAACCAGGGCCCCTCCCTCTCCCACCCTTTACCGCGGAGCCCCAGGCGAGCCTGGGGAGCAGACGCAACAGATTGCAGAACGCGAGAGCGCGGAGCCGGCTCCCTCCGCGCGCCGCCAGCCCGCCCGGCCTGAGCCCGCTGCCCAGACCCCCGCCCTCCGGGCTCGGCCGAGCCGGCCATTTAGATGCAGCTCACAGGACCGCGGGCGGGAGGGCCGCCGCGGCTTCCCGGCCCCTGTCACTCCACTTCCCTTCCCGAAGACCACAGCAGGAAGCCAGGCAGCCTGCCGAGCGGCCCCACACCGGCCTGCGCGCCAGGGGCCGGGGAAGATGCGATCCCGCGGATCCCAACAGCCCGGTGGGCTGCAAGGGGAACCACGGGTGGGGCGGACGGCGGGGACATGATCTAGAGGATCTCTCGGATCCCTCTAGATCTCCGTGGGTGGACACGCCCCCAGATTTTCCGGTTTGGACCTTTCTTTCTAACCCCGAGAGGACTGAAGCGGCCCCTTCCCCCCACCCTTTCCCTGAGCCGGGTTCGGTCCCCTCCGCGAGCTCGAGGCTCCGCTCCCGCCAGAGGGCTTAAGGGCCGGAAGCAACTAGAGCTGCGGCCCCAGCCACCGGGCTGAGAGCCGCGGCACATAGTCCAGGCTCGGGGTGGGGTGGGATAGGATGGGGGTTCTTCTTTCTCCAGTCCTCCCTGTGTCCCCTCCAGTCCTCCCTGTGCCCCCTCCCGTGGCGCCCGCCGCATCCTCATCCCCAAGTCTGCGCCGCGACACTTACCGTGGGCGAGCAGCGCGGAGAGGCAGAGCAGGGCGGCGCCGCCGCGGCCCGACATCCCTGGGGCCATGGCCGAGGCGGGGGCGGGAGGGGTCCGAGGGGGCAACAGTGCTCAACGACTTGGTTCCAGTCTGGACTCGGTCACATCCAACTCAGGGTGGCACCCAGCTGTCTCTGTTGAGGCTTTGGGGGCCAGGGAGCGCAATTCGGGGACACTTTACGGGGAGGGGGCGTCCCAGGCACGGCCGACCACACGCTGGGAGCTGGTGGAGGCGCAGCTCCGGGCGGGAGGAACCTCCACCTCCCTAGGCTGGTGCCCCCTGCAGGATCTTCGAGGCTAGGGGGGAGCCGCACGTGCGGTCCCGGGATCCACAGCCTCGGGCGTCCCGGGGGCTGCCTAGAATCGCGTGCCGAATCCCTTGGCCTCACGACCCCGTTGGAATCCGTACTCGCTCGAGGGTGCAGATTTCCAGCGCAAGCTGGGATTGCCTTGGTTTCGGTGGTAACCTCACATGGAGAGCGCAGCTTTTCTTCCAAGCGCCCTGCAGCAGCCCCAGCATAAAAATCCCAGGTCAGGTTCAAGTGGGATTTCTTTCGCAAAGAAAGAGAAAATCCAGGCAACTTTAATCCATCCAGAAAAGAAAAAGTTTCCGTGCAGTGCTGAGACAGGCGACGCGGGTCGCCACCACCCTAGGCGACGCCCAGACGAAATGCCCGAGGCGGGTGGCCAGATGTTTGTCCCCTCGCAGAGCTCGCTCCTGGGCTCCAGCGCGCTCTCTCCAGTCTCCACCGAGGCCCGCGCTAACACAAGCCGGCTCCGCGCCGCCTGGCCGGGAAGCGGTTCTGCAGCTGGGGTGAGGGTGGCGCAGCCGGAACCGGCTGCCCCATGGACACAGGGCTTGGAGAAACGAGGGAGGCGGGAAAGCAAGCTACTGCGCCCTGACCCAAGCCCTTTCTGCTCGGAGCGTCGACTCCAGCCTCCCGTCCGTAAGTGTTGTAGGATGGAGAGAGGCTCGGCCAGCCTGTGGCTGCTCCGGGCCACCCGTCTCCTCTCAGGTCTCGCTGTCTCAGCAGAGGGGCACGCTGCCCCTCCTCGCTTTCCCTGGGGGCACCTGCACAAACCTTGAACTTTTCCGGGGTTCAGAATCTCTGAAGCCTCCTTCTCACCGTCGCCCTCGCCCTGCCCCTGGATGTCCGCTTGCCCGCTGTCTCCGTGCAGCAGGGCATCGGTTCTCGCTGTCTCGGAGTCAGTTTGGACGAGCGGACCGCCGCGCCAGTCCGGGCTGCGGGTGTCGAGACGCGGGCGCAGGGCCAGGGGCCAGGGCACACGGCACCTGCGCAGCCCGGGGTCCGGGAGGCTGCAGCTAGTGGCTACCCGGCTGAGAAGAGAGGAGGTGCCGGCAGGGGGGGCCGGCTCCCCATGGACGTGTGTTGGGGGAGAAGAATCAAGGAGCAAAAGGAAAGAGGAGGCGGGGGGGGGGGAGCCACAGTTGCACGAAGCAGTCGCCGCCGCCTCCTCCTCGGTGCTCGCGCCAGCAGCTCCGCGGTAAATGACTCGAGAGACACACACACACTCGCGCTCGCCTGCCTTCCTCCCGGGTCCGGGATTCAGCGCCCACCCGGGCGGTAGCGGGCGCCGAGCTTGGCGCGCTCGCTCCCTTCTTCTCCCTCCCCTCCCAGATTCCCCGTGGTCACGTGGCCCCTGAGCGCGCGGCCCACGGCTCGCGCGCCACGGAGACTCCCCCCCCGCCCCCCAACTCCCCCTCTTCTGTCCACGTGTCCATTCCGCATTCCCAGCCTGGGGGCGCGCGCCGCTCCTTAATGAGACTCGGGCAAGGGCCGGCTTCGCGGTTCCCTTCTTCTGTTTTACGTTTAATTTTTCCTCCCGGATGCATGCTAGCTCTGGGACCCGAGTGGGGTCAGTTAGCTGCAGCGGCTGCGTTTCTCTCCTGTAGACGCCACCGCAGTCGCCGACGTCCCTTGTCAAAGGATGCAAGCTCCCTTTCGGGTGCCGGAGGTGTTTTCAGCGGTCTACCAGAGGCGCGGGTAGGGGGCATCCTACCCCCATCCCTAGGGTCTGCGTGGGTTTGTTCAGGGCACCCGGTGGGAATGAGCCTAGCTGCCGCGCCCAGCTCTTTTCGGGAGGCGAGGGAGCTCTCCCGCTCAGCTCTCCGGCTCAGTGGGCCGGGGGCACCGCTGGGGGCAGACCCAGTGGCTGGGCGGTGGCGGGGAGGTTGGCAGAGAAGAGGGGACTGCTGGTCTACAGGTTGTTTTGCAAGCCTCTGAAGGGGCATGGGGTGAACATGAGGAGCTGCCCTTTCTTGCACACTCACCCAGTCGCCTGCTGAGGTGGGGGAGGGGTGGCTGGGGTAGCAGTTCATTCCCAGTGTCCGGCCCCTTTCATTAGAGCAATACCTAGATCAGACCCGACAAGTCAACCGTCAATCAGGCATTGAATCAATGGCCGTGATTTTATAGCTTCATTGGGTATCATGTCCTCACCCCCCCTCCCCCTCCCCCAGCAATGCCCTATAGGATGCTCAGTTCTTCAAGCACTGTATGCCTGACTTGGTCCTAACCTTCTTGATCCTGTGTTTCCTTTTCCTCTAGGAAAGTGACATTTTGTTTTTGAAAAATGGGCTCCAACAGCTCCTAGAAGCCCTCCTCCTCCCTGGCTGCTGGCTGTGGCTGCCTCAGCTTGATACTGGGACCTGCTAAGCTGCTCTTGCCTCTCCCCCATCCCCTATCTGTCTGGAACTCAGAGGTGCAAGCACAGGGAGGGCGGGCTGGACTGTTGGAGGCCCTGGGGACGGAAGGTGCTGGAGTAGTCAAAGATGATTCTCATTAGGCCCCTAATGCCTGATGGCAATTAATGTCACCCAAGGGCTTATTAACCAGCCCACAGAGAGGAAAGCCAGCAATCAGGCTGTGTGTGGGAGGAGGGGAAGGAGCCACTTTCCTAGACAGAGGAGGGTGTGGGGAGGGAGGAAGGAAGCAGGGGACCCTTTTACCCCTACACTCCTGGCCAGGCCAGTGGGAAGTGACACAGGACCCCAGGACGACCAGAGGGAAGAGGCAAGGGCTGCTTTCGCTGGTGGTTTGGACCAGGCTGTCCTTTACAGTCCTCCACAGCTGACTCCAGAGCAGGAGGGTGTTGGGTTTCAGCCCACCTTCTGGCCATTCTGAAAACAGCACAATGTTCCAGTAGTCAGGGTGTCAGTGACTTAGATATGGGCATCTTCTCTCTGCCCCAACTCAGTTTCCCCTTTTTCCTCCTTCCCTTTTGCAACAGTACTGTGAATATCTCCAACATCACAGCCATTATAGGTACAACAGTGAGCAAGGGAGAGAACCAGCTCTTGCCCCCATGGAAATTCTGTTCAGGAATGGAAGGCAGACACTAAGCTTGTGACCAGATACAGTCGTGATATCTGCAGTCATGTGCTTTTGTTTTTGTCTTCTGGAGAGGACAGAGGCCCATCTCAGGAAGGGCAAGGGGACCCTGCCATTTTTAGAGAACTCCATTCCGTCCTTGTTCTTCCTGTACCTCCTATGTAGATCTGCCCTTCATGGACCAGGGAGCCTCCTGCTGGGTCAGGTACCTGTTTGCCCTCTCCATCTGATCCACCGTCGAAGGGAAGGACTGCTGATGATGCTGGGGGAGTAAAATACCCAAATGACCCCAACTCCAGTGCCCCAATGGCCTGTCACAGTGCACATTCTAGGGCTGACCTCTGCCAGCTGCTGTTTGAACCTCACATGCCATTTACCTGGAAGGGAGCTCATGCATTCCTCTACCTTCCCCATCACACCAACAGGCTGCCCTTGGCCCATCTGTGGGTCCTTGTCCTGTGTTCCCAACTAGCAATGCCCTTGGAATCCCAATAGGAGAGGTCAGTGAAGCAATCCCTGGAGCCCAGGCTGGAGAGAGGATCTGGCATGGTGTCTGCTTCTGTCTCCCAGGAGCACCTAATTATGTTATGATGATATTGTGGTCTTTCTGCTTTCTCTTTCTGGTTGGGGCTGAGTGTCTTTCTGGATGGAGGCTTGGCTATGGCTGTGTTTGTCTCCATTTCCAGCTCCTGGGTGATGCCTGGAAGGAGCCTTAGCCTCCTTCTAAGTAGACAGGCAGCTCCAGTGCCTTGCATAGCTCAAAGACCCACACAGAAATGGGTACCCACTTCCTCCCCTACCCAACCAGCCTTACAGGAGACTGGTGACCCCTGCCCTTGGGCATGTCCCTGGGTTTCAGGATATCTGCAGACCAGAGGACAGGCCAGACTGGAGCATCACTGAGAGGATGTTCCTGGGACCACCCTAGATTGTTCATCCGTGTCAGCAGGAGGGCTCCAGAATCCTTAAGCTGCCCCTCTTTACCAATGCAAAAAAAAAAAAAAAGCCTGCTAATTCCATCATTTTATAAAATATTTGGATTTTTTTAATTGATCTTTAATTATGTGTGAAGCACTGTGCTAGGTAGTAGATGCATAGGTTGAGCAAGACAGACAAGACTTAGACAGCAGAAATTCAAGAGCCTCCACCAACCCATACAGAGAACTGGTGATACTAATAGGTAACATTAAGGAAGGCTATTTTATATGCGGGACTGTGCTCAGCATTTTCATGTGTTACCTGGGTCCTTACAATAACCCTGTTAGTAGATACTATTATTTTTTTTTTGCAGTGCTGGGGGTAGCTACTGTTATTATTACCATTTCTGGATATGAAAACTGAGGCTCAGAGAAGGTAGGGTTTTTCCCCTAGGATCACACAGCTAGAAAGTACAGTACCATAACTCTGTACCACATGTATGTGATTCCAAAGCTCAGATAAGTAACCCACTTGACCACTTTTACAGTGATGGGGAAGTGCTCAGGGCTTTATAAATGACAAGCTACCACCTCTGGCTGTACATGCTTATAGACAGTGGGGCCCTAGGCATGAACAGGCCATTCAGCCCAGGCAGGGCAGTACAGTGCAGTGAAAGAGGCCAATGTAGGGTCTCTGGGAGAAAGAGGACTCTGGAGAGAGAGTAGCATTCTCTACAGTATTGTCCAGAGTAGTTCAGCCTCTTGCTTTCCCTCCCCTAGCCTCCAGACACACCTACGTGTGTTAGGTCTACGTCCAGTTTAACCTAGTTATTTATCATAACCATCACCCAGACTACCCTGTAGCTGGACCGCTTTGTCTCCCCCTTCAGGCTAAGCTCTTGGCTGACATTCCAGGACCATTACTGATGCACTGAGAATGTTACCAGCTAAGGGAGGCAGTACGTGATGGCCAGCACACGGGTTCCCAAGCAGAGACCTGGTTCTAGTTCTATAAGGCGAGGCAACTGCAGCAGTCTGCTCTGGCTGCCATAACCAATACCCCAGAGGGGTTGGCTTAAACCTCAGAAGTTTATTTCTTATAGCTCTGGAGGCTGGAAGTCCAAGGTAAGGTGATGGCAGGGTCGGCCCTCTTTCCTTGGCTGGCGGTTGGATGTTCTTGCTGTGTTTTCACATGGCCGTTTCTCTGTGCTCATGAATCTCTTCTTATAAGGACACTAGGTAGTAGATTAGGCCCCCATGCTAATGGCCCCATTTCACTTAATCTCCTCTTAAAAGACCTGGTTTCCAAATACAACTGGATTCCAACTTACTTAAAGTAGGGACTTCAACTAGTCAATTTTAGGAGGATACAGTTTAGCCCATAACAGTGACTATAATTCATCATCCAAAGGTGATGCTATTCATAACCACCTTGGTAGTTAAGTAGACCACCCAGCGCACACTGGAACCACTGACCCCTAACATCCTGGCCCCATCACTCATCCTACATCTTTGCTTTAAACTTTTAAACTGCCTCATCTCTCCAAAGCCACTAACACATTACTCTGCTCAGCTCCCCTCTACATCTTACCATTACATAGTAATGTCCATGGAGACATACTCTCAATTTAGGATTTTAGGTCAGAATCCAACCCCACTTTTTTTTTCTTTTTTGGTATGGGGATGGAACCCAGAGCCTCCCACAAGCTAGGCAAACACTCTTCCACTGAGCTACAGCCCCCAATCCACCTTCCTGTTTTTTATAGATAAGAAATCCAAGACCTAGGGAGGTAGTTATGGGCCCAAGGCCAGTTATTGACAGTGAGAGCAAGGATGGGCTGAGTTCTCTGTCCCGCAATGTGTCCATCCTGAAGCTTCACCATTTGGCTCAGTTCCACACAAATTAAGAACCCATCCTTTCTTTTCTGGAGGGAATGAGCCTCCCTAAATCATTGTTTTGGAGACTCGGAGCCCTAGTTGGTGTGGAGGTTGGCTTAGTTTAGACCTTGGGCTGTAGTTCTAGTAAGTTGTGTTTACTTACTCATTCATTCAGCCCTACCTTGGACTCGCCTTCCTCTGTGAAGCCTTCCCTGACACTGCCCACACCTTGGCCCTGTTGTGTGCTCTCATAAGTCCCTGTGTTTATCTGGTTGCATTGACTTATCTGTCTCCCTCTCTAGAGAGGACACCCAGGAAGGCAAGCCATCTATGTTGACCCCCTTGGTATGACCCTTGTCTGACATCTGTTGAGGACTTTGTTAATGGCCTTTGAATGAATGAACAGTTAATCACACACTATGTGTCTGGAGCTCTGATAGGTGAGCAAGATGGTCTTTGGCCTTGAGGAGCTCACCAAGTGGGAGGCAGGAGGCAGACACAGGGATTGTGGTGGGTGTGACAATGAGAACCACCACAGAGGAAGCCCAGGGGCTGTGGGCATGGGCAGGAAGGGAAGGCTTCCTGGAAGAGGTGCACTGAAGGAAAAATTGGTGTAGGCCAGAGACTTGACCAGAAAAGGGAGCAGAGAGGAGGCAGTGCCAGAAGAGGGAGCAGCTATCCTAAAACTGGAGCCAATGGGGATCCAGTGTGTTGGGGACTGAGGTTTCAGTGTGGCTACACCAGTGACCTGGGGGAGCTGGAAAGGAGGCTGGAGAGGCCAGTGAACACACCATCCCCACACATAAAGGTCCATGCCTGTGATGACACATGCTTAGGGTTGTCATATTCAGTCACATGCAAGAAGGAAGGGCTGAAGACACCTTAGCAGCGCATGCAATCCATGTGTGCACACACATGCATGCATGCACACACATGCACACACCAGTGCTCTGCAAACAAATTGCTCTCTGGAATGTCATTTGTGGGTCTTTTACTCTCATTTCCCTAGCATCTGCCTTTGGTTCCTTTTCAGACAGCACACTCCTTCCAGACCCTACCCATGCCCAACCTCCTTCTATCTGTCCTCTGTCCTTCCTCCCTCAGGCACACATGGATGGCAAGCTAGGACCACCCTGGGCTCCCAGCCAAGGGAGGATTTGGACTTAGGCCATGCAGGCTGGATGCTGTTCCTCACCTCGTTTCTTCCCCACCCCCATATGGTCTCATTTAATTCCTGTGTGTGTGTGTGTGTGTGTGTGTGTGTGCATGAGAAAGAGAGAGAGAGAGAGAGAAAGAACAAGAACACTATCCCTGCTCCAGTCCAGCATCTAAATAGTAGTAGATTCTTGATATTACTATAACTTCCTCAACCTCGCTGCCAGGTGTAGTGCCAGGGGCTTCACTGCCCCATTCCCAGCCTCCTGAGCTGCTCCTGGGACCCCACAGGGTCATCCAGCTCCTGGGGTTGGCACTGCCCAGGAGTACTGAATGGGAAAAGAGAGCTGTTCTGGGGAGGGTGAGGGAGGAGCCAGACAGCCTGAAGACAAAGAGGAAACCCTTTTACTGCAGACTGTATGCCTGAACAGCCAGTAAAGGCCACCTGGGTAATTGTGAGAGTTATGGGGCAAAGAGTCTCAGAGCATCAGATACCTTGCCTGATTTCAGACAGCGGGCTCTCAGGTTAGAACTGGAGTTGAATCCTTTTCCCCTGAAATGGGAATCCTTGCTTCAGTTCCCCAGTCCATTTCCCAAATCCAATCTCAGATTCCTTATGCCTTAATCCAGCTGTAAAACCATCTATGACTCCCTATTGCCTGCAGGATTAATTCCAAATGTCCCAAATTTGCATTTATAGCATGACATAGACCTTCCAGCTTGTTTCTCTTTTTAGCCACTTTCCTGCTATGAACTGTGCCTTGTTCTGCTAGTATACCCTTTTGCCATGCATTCTCTGTTGAAACACCTGTTTCTCTTTCCCTGTCTCTGTGGAGGCTTTTCTGCAAAGGCTGCTTCCACCAACCCAGATGGAATCATTCACTGTCTGCTTCATAGCTAGAATTCACCCAACCTCTGTCTTAGTTTCCTCAACTCACTTATAAAATCCTTAGGGACAAAGACTAAAGTTTGTTCATCTTTAAATCCCTTGCAACATTGAAAAGATCCACAGATGGAGTAATGTTCCTGAATGTTAGCTGAGCGAGTGAATGAATGAATGAATGACCCA